ATAAAATAAATTAAGACGGATTGGTCCCGTTCTTAATACACCAATGCACTAATATATAAAAGTTTCAGTATTTCTATAAAATTAAAAAAAAATTTGGCTATGGTGACAGCAATAACTTTAGGATTAAGACAGATGGTAAATATAAATATTGATTGAGTCTATTTAAAAAAATCATCGAACAGTATTATTTTATGTAAATATTAATTTAGTTTTGTTTAAAATAATAAAACTATCATGTTTTATTAATCTATACAACTATAAAACTTAAAACATCAACTTCGAAAACTTAGGGAGCTTTAAAATACAAATGTATTGTTTTTGTTTAAAAGGTATTATGATGCAAAACAATAAACAACTTTTAAATACTTTTGTATTTTCAAAAAAGTATTGATATCACTTTTAACATTTGATATTTAATATATTTCTCTGATTTTGATGCTTAAAAAAGGGCTTATTATTTTGTATACATTAATATTGCATAATATTCTAGATGCATTATTATTCTCAATAGTATCAATCGTAGAACTACAAACTAAAACGGTAATTATATTATTTTTTATTTGTCTTCAACAGAGTATAATAGTCTCTTATAAAAATATTGTTTTCGTTTTTTTTTTATAAACATATAAAAATTGTGTCTTTATTAACAACGCTTAAAACATGAAAATAAAAAACAAAATTATAATACATTAAATTGCTTGGACATCTGAATCATTGGAATTTAAAAATTAAAATCAAATCTTATTCAGTTAATTATTCTTTAAATTTTAAATTATTTTTAATTTTAATTAAATAAAAATAAGAATAATACCATTTATTTTGTTGTTGTTTTCTCAATAAATAGTAAGCATGATGATATTTATTCATTTTCATTTATAATATTTTTTCTATTTAATAAATTATAAATTTATATAGTGACTTTCTTAATTTTAAACTTGTAGAATGTATTTTACTGCTTACAGTAATAAGCAACTATTACGTTGGTTATTACATTTCATAATTTATAATGCTTTCAAACGTGATAACTTTACTGTTTGCGTTGATAAATATTATAAGGTAGTCTTATTAAAAGCATAGTGCTGTTATAAAGTAAGTAGGTCAGTAGCCATAATTTAAAATTTAATTTTGAGTTACCACAATAGGGATATATTTTAATTAAACGATTTCAATAATCATTTGAATTTTTGTTTAAATCATTTGTCAAAATTTTAGCATTGCTCAAAGGAAAAACGGATTTTTTACCATAACAACTTTTGATGGAACTAATTATATAAGACATTTTAGAAATTTGTATGAATTTAAATTAGTATGTCCATCGATAACTTTTTTTCGGTCATAACTCACAATTATAATTCACAAGGGTATTAGAAAACGCGATGAATACAATTACGTAAGAGGTTTTTCGACTATCGAATAACACAATTCTGTCATATTTTTTTAATAAATATAATCATCCATGTCTACTTATCGCTGTTTTTTTTATTCAAATCTTTCAACAAATTAATATAATGTAAAATTTAATCAATAAATATTATTTTATTTTCAAAAATAAAAATGTGATTTTACTAAAAAAAATTTTTTTTATATATTGTCATATTATAAAAAGATATTTTTATCCAGTTATTAAATATTGCTAAAAACAACTCAAAAAGTAAACCTAGTATAAATTTATTTCTAATAATATATTCTGAACATGATGATTTTACCACTCTGCGCTAGCAATAACTCTTAATAAACAGTTACTTACTTGTATAAAGTTTCAACCTGAATGACTCTTAAAAGCTTAATTAAACTTTGGATTATACAGTAAAACATAGACTTAAGTGTATAATTATACGAGTGAGTGATTAGATCTAAAATATTCATTAAATATTACGTAAAAATCAAACACGTCAGATGATAATAGGATAAGCCTAATAATAATTATGAAAATATAATAATAACTCTATGAGATATTGTTTTATAAGTAATATTAATAATTATAAATATACTCAACAACTTTATTTAAATATGTTTTATTTATATAAGTGAATGTTTAAAATTTAAACAAGCAGCGCTATGACAATGTATAAAATTATTAAAATAATTTTATAATGTTTAAAAAAAATTGTTATTATAATAATTAGCCAATTTTATAATTTTTTTTAAGTTATTTAATCTTATCAAGATTTTGTGCTTTTTTAAAATAATTACTATAAATTTTAAAAATTGAAAAATTAATTTTATAGAAATTTTTTTGAACCCAGAATCAATTAATTATGTCTACACTAAAGCATTATTTTGGGAGGATTTAATTGTTAGACAAATAAAACATTATAAAGCCGTAAAAATGCCAAATTACTGAGAAGCCATAAATATGTAACAAAATTAAGCCATAAAATTTTAAAAACTTTAGAAAACCATAGAAATAAAGAAAAACATTATGAAACCGTAGAAAAAAAAAATATGAAGCCTTAGAAAAGCAAAAACCATTATGAAGCCATAGAAGAAAAAAATACTATGAAGCCTTAGAAAAGCAAAAAGCATTATGAAGCCATAGAAGTGCATAATAACATAGTGAAGCCATAGAAAAGCAAAAAACATTATGAAGCCATAGAAGTGCATAATAACATAGTGAAGCCATTGAAATACATAAACATTAATCTATAAAATATTTTTGACTCAAATGTTTTTTTTTTAGAAAATGTTTAATATTTTTTAATACACTAGGTTCTTTGAATGTAATAATTTTAAATAAATATTTATACTTAAAATAGTTTTTAATTTTATGAAATATTTTAAAATAAATTATTGGTTCTATTTCCTTTTTTAAAGTATATATCCTCCTGTAATAATATGTAGAAGAATACGAGTATTCTTGTTATCGGGAAAATTCTCGGTAAAAAATAAAATTCACAATTTTTTGTGAGGCTTTTTGTTAAAACCTTGCGACATGTTTTATTTCAAATTTAGGGAGATAAAAATCAATTGAAAAAAGGCAAATGCAACAATATTATACATACCACCACCTAGGCGAGGTGTCGCATCTATCAGATATGATTACTGGACCATCGGTGGAATTTAATTTTAAGTTAATTAATAGTTTAATTTAATAAGTCGTCATATGTATAAATCATTATAATAGTCGTGGTTATTTAACCATAACTATGATAATTGAAGTTATAAGTGGCTAATATGTAAAACATACCGTAGCTCGTGTCTAGATTAAGGAACAATGATAAAATACACGCGAGTACTTAAGTTACTCGCGCAATAAAATAAATATTACAGTTAAAATTAATAAGAAAATTTAATTTAATTGTTAAAATAAAATAAAATTAAGTTAAACATGGAAAAAAATACGAGTGTATGAAAAACCATGTCTAAAAGATTGGCAACAAAAATAAAATTAAATATTTAAACAAAATTAAATAATATAACAAACATCACGGACGGTATTGGAACAAATCCATTATTGTTAATCGGAAATTAATGAAAAACACCAGGAACGGTCTGGACACTCACTCCTTGGCGTTGACTAGAAGAAAATGGAAACACGTGCTCTCCACACATGAATAAAATTAAGTTAATTTATAATAAATAAAACAGAAATAAATAATTAATAAAATACACCTTTTTGTAGAGAACGCCACTAGCAAAGGCCTAGTGAACCAGTTGTCACAAACACCGTTGATTATGTTATATCGTGTGATAGCTGATCTCTAGTGTCTTTGCTTTACTCACCCCCTTGCCCAACCAGCACGGAAAATTGATAGCCTCCGTGTCAATTGTCATCCGTGTACAGTTCATCGTCGTAAGTCAGTAAGTCAATTATTTTATGTGTCATCTTTTTTTCATAGCAAGCGCCTACGCTTGAATGGTAAATTGTTCGGCCATTGTACGCCGTTATTCTTATTGTTTGTTTATTGCATCCTTGTGCTCAAAGTTCTCGTTCTCTTGCACGCCACCTGTGATTGAGCCCTAACCATCACTAAATAACTCCATTGCCGTAGTCGCTTTTCCGCCGTTTGTTTTCATCTGTCATTACGTGCCTGGATTTTCACTCTGATTCATGATACTCAATTGTTCGACACCATCTATTCAGTTAAGTGTTTATATTATTTTTTAATGTTATTTATCATTTATTTAATTAAGTTTAACTATTTTGTTACATGCCACTTCGCCGACTATTATATTTAATTACACGACCAAAGTTACAGTACATTACTATATCAATATAATAAGCACATCATTTAGTTCCGTGATGCTAAATAAATTCTACAATTATTCCAACGGCTATGTTTTATTGATTTTGCATTTTAACAACATAAAGCTGAAATTTTCTCATAAGCCATAAGATTATTTTGTCTAAAACCTTTAAAGTTAAGAACTATTCCAAGAAGATAGTTAAACGAATAACAACATAAAATTATTATACTCATGTATTTAGAATATTGAAGTTTTCTCAATTTTTTAATGATTACTCATTTTTTTAACAGAATATTATTTAAAATGTTTTCTAATTGCTATTATTTTATTACTATTCTTATGAATATTCCGATTGTCAAGAAAACTTAACTTATATAGTGGTCTTGAGTTTAAAATTGAACAGTATGCGTTTATTTAGTAACTCACTTATTAAATTTACGCATTTCTATAAATGATTAATTTGTGTTAAAAAAGCTAAACTAAAATGGGCGTCACTTATTTAAAAACTTGTTCAAAATATTTTAAAATATAGAAATAATATACTACAGACCTGCAATATTGCCTTTTATTACTAAAATTTTCATCTAGACCTTTATACATTATTATATACTGTATCTAATAATTAATTCGCGGTAAATCCACCAAAATACTATAAATTTAAAGCCCCGAAGGTCAAAACCTTACCAAAGTCTTTTACAGGACTTAGGTTAGTCTTCGAATGCTTAGTGACCGGTAGCCCGCATGGGGCGCCTCACTAGAGTTTGTACTCTAGTCGCCTAGGCTGCAGTGGCGATTTATTGATTCAACTATAATTCTAGTGACCCTGGGGCGCCGCTCAAAACATTATATCTCTTAGTTTTCCGTCAGAAACTATTTGTCTTTTGTCATTACCAATTGAGCGCCTAAGATCTGCACATACTTAGGCCATTAGGATGACAGTAACAATTCGTCGTAAACAAGGGGAAGTTCATTCCCCATGCCTATCTGTTTTGTCCGATAATTCGATTAGTAAGCGAAAAAGCTCAGGACCCGATTTCAACACGTGCACGGACTCCTGTTGGTAAGTTCTTTTATAATTAAATAAAGACAACATAAATACAAAATCCCCATACTAAGTAGATTACAAATGATCAAATATAGCTTGAGATATATATATATATTTGTTGACTTTCATTAAAACCTATTTTTACTATTGTTAGTTTTAAAATCCCGTTTTAGTGAAATTAATCCGCCTTATTGTTTTATTAAACACTTACGATAGTTCTGGGGAAGAGCAAGAAATCTTACAATGCAGTCCACCGCTATCCTTACGCACTCCAGCCGATTCTACTGCCTCTTGGCTAGACGTGAGTATGGATGACAAATATTCTAAAGTTAAATATTATTTATTTATTGTATACGCTATTCGTGCTTTCTAACAGGCGGAAGATGAATACAAAAATGGTAATAATTTTTTAGAAGAAGCAACAATCATATTATACGGCGAAGGTGATTTTTGCGATCCTTGTCACGATAAGCTGCGAGAAGAATACAAGCAATGGAAAAGAATACCTCATTTAAGGTGTGTTAATTAGCATATGTAGCATATTATTATTTTTTCTATCTTTTTCTTTTTCCTCGCCTTTATCCCAACTACTTAGGGTCCGCCAAAATTATTAAATATTATTATTTTTTCTATCATTACCCTAATTTCAAGTAATCATCAAACAATATTTTATACAATATTATTCTAAATGCTTATTTATGTGTTTTTGGTAAAGAAAAAAGGTTTTTTAAAATGTCATGCCTTACAGATTCTAGTCCATCGAGTTTGAAATTAAAGTTTAGACTAAAAGATATTGATGTAATATTTTTAATTTGATTAAACAATCGAATTAAAAACTAAATTTTTCAACAAATATTTTATGTTAAAACACTTTTTTGCTGTCGAGTTAAAAAGTTAACATTATAGTTCTACAATAAGTTTATGGGTGTGATTACTTTTACTATACATAAGTCATTAAAAATAATTATTTTCCTGTAAAAAATATATTTATTGTATTGTATCTAATATTTCACAGAATAACTGGGAGAAGAATAGATTATCCTTGCAAATCAGAAAATTACCATGAAAATGGTTACACATCAAGTGAAATAAAACGAAATAACGAGTATAAATTAGACGATACTAAACAAAGATTAAACAATTTGCAAAATCAAGTAGTTTCAATATTGATGGATTCAATTTTGTCTCGGGTTTTAGTAAGACACTCATCGTCAAACTCTCTAATTAATAGTTCCTATTCTAATCATAAAGAACGAAAAGATTCAACACTTACGTCGTTACGAAGTCCTTATGGAATAGAATCTAGTTTAGTTGTTTCGCCGATACTTCCAGCAGATCGACAAAAGCCAAAGTCGAATAATAAACTGAGAATTTTGCAGGAAAATTTTCATCATCAAAGGTATTTAAAATGCATATTTTTGATAACTTTTGCATAACTAATTTTTAAACACAACAAAAACCTTTAATCCGAAATCATTTTTGCATTAATTGAATTATAAACAAACAAATATTGCAGCTCTACTCCAAAAAAATTCAGCATTATTATTTTCACACTACTATGTCAATCAATAAAAAATTTCAAAATTGTTAAGCTCAAAAATAAATATTTTGCTAACATTTTACTGAAATACTTATAAATAAATAATAACCTGTAAAGATAAGAAATATCCAATGCCTTAATATGAAAATAATATACATATGAAAAAATTCCTTGCTCTTACTACGAAGAAATTTTCTAGTTGTATTTGAAAAAAGGGTCAATTTGTAAGAAAAGTGTGAAAAAAAATGTATTTTTATATTTTAATTTCAATATCTAAAAAATATTTTTTGTAGTTAACCTGCACTTATAGTGATTGTTAGACATTATTATAATTTCTAAACTCTGCATCATTGAGATAAAGCCTACTTTAAAAATAAAATGAGGTAGGATCATTTTAAAAATACTTATTTAATAAGTAGCTTAGAAATAATCTTACCTCATATTTTGAAAAAAATGAAATTTGGATAATTTATCTTTGAGGTATAGTTATATACCCTAGAGATAAAGATTACAATTTGAATAAAACTTAAGAACTAAAATAACATTTTTATATCTCCTAAGAGTTCACTTTTATAATATGTGTGTTATTATTTAAATAACGAAATCATATTCCTTAAAAAATATTACATTTTAATCAATTTTTCAAATGAATTTGAAATACGTATAACTAACGAAAGTTTTTGACATAATATTAAGAACAATTATTATAAATTAAATTTTGTAGCTTGAAGTACTTGTGGATGTCTCCATGTTTACAGTTGAGTTCTGACGTTTCGGACTCATTGTAAATATGGATACACCCTCAAGCACTTCAAGCAACAGGACATCTATGAAAACTTTAACACATTCATTCTTAAATTTTGTAACTATATTTGTTTCTAAAAACTATGAAACAACTTTTTTTTCATACGTGTTACTATATATACGTCATTATATTTCCGAAGAAGTGCATTGTTTTAGGCGTACTTAATTTCATGTAAAATCTAAACGAGTTAAATAATTCCAGCCAAAAATTGAATGTACAAATATGACATAGTTCAGTTATATAAATCAATTTTTTTTTGTGTGGTTAATGAGTTATAACTTTCAGGATCACAGAAATTCATCAAAAACCATGGCCAAAAAATAACGTCAGTATTTTACCACCCATCGACATCCATCCAAAGGTATGTTTTTACAACAAAATTTAAGTATAATATTCATTATCCTAATTATTCTATACACGTCAAATATATCACTTGGATCAAATAATTTATATAATATTTTAGAGGGGTGGTGTCAGTAACGAGGCAATGATTGACGCGTCTTGGGTTCGAAACTCGGTCACGGGCGGCTTCATTTGCCGAGCGAGAGATTATTTCGGTAATTGAAGTCGCCATTCCCTCTTCGGCAACGGACTAACCATTCGTTCTGGAGTATCAATGGGTTGAGAAACCTCCTACTTTGAGGCTACTATGGCCCTAATGGGCTTATAAAGCGTTAGTTTTAGTTATTATCGAGGTCTTGGGCTTTTAACATCTTGTTTTTCAGGAAAAGGGTTACTTAAGTAGTTTGATCTTAGGTGGACAGGCTTCACATTCGTACATAATGTGAAATGAGTCATCCTCTTCTGCTCCACACTTCTTGCACAATGNACCCACCTAAGTGTTATCACCGCAGTGTTATTACATTATACCTATCATTGTATAAGGGTGAACCATCAAGTTACCCCTATGGATGACCAAAGAGTCCTGTCTTTCCGGCAAAATTAAGTATCTCTCTGGATCTTGGGCTTTTAACATCTTGTTTTTCAGGAAAAGGGTTACTTAAGTAGTTTGATCTTAGGTGGACAGGCTTCACATTCGTACATAATGTGAAATGAGTCATCCTCTTCTGCTCCACACTTCTTGCACAATGGTGATTCCTATACCGCATTGCGTAAAGATTATAAAACGTTAAAAAAGAGTAATTATTTATTTTGATATAATCTTTCAAATTTTTTAATTTAATTAATTAATTTTTATAAATGAATTCTACATTATCAAATAAAAAATAATGATAACCTAAAACCAATTATACCAAAATATCAATAATAATCAATTTCAATGTGCACTTAGGTTTTTTAACGGTGCAATATAACAGTTATGTATTAATCAAATTATAACCTATTTAATTTAATTTTAGATAAATAATAACTTAAATATATAGATAAATACTCCAATATCTTCGTAAAAATTTCTTATTATGCCAGTCTCTAATTATAGAAGCCTATCATGTTTTATATTATATGTTATGTTTTAACGAAAATATTTATGGCAGGGGGTTAAATCCACTACCAAATTGGTAACTTCTTTAAAATTTCAAAGGAAACAAATTGTTGTAATTTTCAAAAAATTCTAAAAATTTAGACACTTAAAGAAATTGTTAAAGTCGTCACTATTTTTAGAGTACAGAAAAAGGGGCCATTTTAGGGCGATAATTAAACTTAGAACTTGATATCTATTATTATTTTAATCGTATCAATTTACAGCACGTATTCAAGGAATGTTAATATACACAAAATATTTGTTCGAAAAAATTCAGTGATAAAATTTATAAAATATTTATTGCCCCAAGTTAACCACTACTTCATATAACGGTATTTATTAGCATAATTTTAGAACTGATAATTTTTGAAGTAGTCATTCAATGTATTTTGATTACACAATGAGTTAATAAGATGAAAAGTTGAAAGGGATTTTTTCCACTACTTAAATGAAAGTTATATGAAGAGAATAACTTAAACTATTAAAATTACACTAAACCAAATATAATTTTAAACCATGTATCCATTTTTTTAAGTAAGGAGACTACACTATTACTTTAAACAAAATTTATCAGACACACAAACGCCCCTTATTGCGCCCCTCAGTTTACTCCTATCTTCATAAGAGAGTAAAAATTTTCTATTTAATTAAAAATTATTTAGGAAATATAATCATGGCAATCTTAAAATGAGATTATTTAATTTAATTAATATTATTTTGTATAATTTATAACACAGATGTTTAAAATAGTATATTTTTAAATCAAAGCAATATTAGGGTCATCTGGAAGTTATTCATACAATTATGAAAATATTCATAGTAAAATAACGATAATTGAGTTTACCACATTATAAAAGCTTTCTTTGTTTTTCTATGCTTTTTACAAATTGTATTGTATTTACTTACTTTTGTATTGGAACAAATAATGTGCTTATACTACTTCCGAATATCCGGAAATAAATTGTTCGGTTAAACTCCCACCGTTAAATCATAAATTACAATATTGTGTACAAGGGCACCAATACTGATCAATGTAATTGCGTGATTAAAAAATGATCACGGTCAAACGCATAATACCTACTTGGTAAAAGCCTCAATAATTTCAAGCTAGTATAATTTTTATTACTATAGGTTTTCAACAATTGATAGGATGACAGTAAGCCTATGGGTATTCATACAAAGTGATACAACTGTAAATACACTCCAATAATTCAACCTAATTAGATTGTATGATTGGACAAGTTAACGTATAAACACACAAAAATAACATGTTTGGAGTATTATTTTAGATTTAATGTCAATATTTCCCCTCGACATCTCTTGTACTACTTATTTGTAAATACTTATCGTTCAATTTGTTTTGTCAGAAACAAATACCGCTAGCTTTTCTGGAAATGTTTTTTATACACATTAAGCAAAGTACAGACGTTAGAATTCTGACTTACAGCAGTAAAAGTCTATTTATTCAACGTAAAAAGAAAATAAAAAACGACCTTGTTATAAAATAATTTATTTAAAAATTTTCAATTGAAAATAAGTACTATGCCCCTTCTTATCCGCGAATATGACGTCCGTAATTGTGCAATTGATATATTTTTATTGCAAAATTATGTTTGCTCAACAAAATATTTATTAAAATTAGAGGCAGTCTTAGTTTTATAGTAGACGACTGAAGTTAATGACGTACGATTATGACGTTATAAGATTCCTTTTGACTGGTTTCTGTAGCATCATCAACCGATCACGTCTTTAACACAAAGATAATAACTATAATTATAATGGCAAATACCTTAGTGATGCTGTAAAATGTAATAAGACTATCTAATGTGTTCCTCTCAAACAAAAATCTGTCACGCAACCTCTACATTGATGCAACGATGTAATTAATTAATTGCGATCATAGTGATTACATCAAAACAAATCGTGAGCTTTCATATTTATTTTTATAAATATATGTGATTGCCAGAACCACTAAAAAAGTAATATATTGTAATAACAAAATGTACATTGGCTCTTTATAGGCAGCTCTTATAACCAGCAATACAACAATATTAATCGAATAGGTCTATTAGATTAGATAAAAATGTCTCAAACGATGATTCATGAGATATGAATAATAATAATCATCTCATAATAATCTCTAGATATTCTTATAAACCGTTAAGTACAAATAGACAGTATTAATTATTAATACTCGCAAAGAAATATTATTCCTACATAGTTAACGATGGCGTGTGTTGTTATGAAGTTGTCCAACGTACTATATGCTAAATATAAGACAGAAATTTGAATGTTTTACAAATAAATTACATGATTACAAAAAAAAAAGAGTTCCCGTAATTCTACTTAAAAAATGTATGAATAATTATTTTATTTTATTTCGATAATTAATGAATATGCTTGTTTATCCAGTTGAAAAGGCAAAAAAAATAAAATAAAACATAATTTTGAAATAAATGGTTTCATAAAACAAATTTATTGGTTACTTTACAATTTTTGAAAATATGAACCATAGAATACTAATCCGAATTAACTAATATAGATACAACTAGAATAAAAAAATTGAAGAGACTTGTATATTTTCCCCTTCTTTAAATTATTTTAATAAATATAAATTTCTACATTTTTTAAGAGACTTAGCTCCTAGCTTTCCTGGTTCCCTCAAGTTAGGTTTATGCTAATAATTAAAATACATTCGCAGTTATTTGTCGTAACATGAATTTATTGACATATGTTCTTTATGATACGAATTTCATGTAATTATACTATTAAATCATAGAAGACCTTGAATATTTTATGAATATTACCCTACTAAAATATTCATGTAGAATCTAGTTTTTAAAAACTGTTCACGGCAATCTTAATGTTCAATTAAGAATTACCTCACCGGATTATTTAGATTCACTCATAGTTGTTATCTTTAAGTTAGAGTATAATAAGACGTGCATTTATATAAGAAAACAAATACTTTGAACATTATATTATTATTTTGATCTCGTTAAGTTTTATTTTAAAAACAATCTTAAATAGCTTTGAATATGGCAAATTAATAGCGTATGACAACAACAAGATAATCATTTCATTAAATGTGTATTAGAAAACAGGATTTTCTATTAACTTATTTGTTTTTCAATTTTCATTATGCTCATTTACACTAAGATCTAGTACTAATTTCAATGTAACATATAAATAGAACTGTTTAAATTGGTATAGTTAATCAATTAAATTTAAAAATTATTTATTAAACAGTTACAGTAAATAAAAAAAAATTAAAATTTTAGTTTGCTGTGTTTGTTTTTAAATATAATTCTGTTTGATATAAATTAGACTTTTTATGACAATATTATTCATTTATTCTTACTGGATATTTTATAAATAAAACATGTTTTTAATAAATAAACTTCCATTTTATAATTAATTTTCAAAAGAAATTTGATCCACGGTAAAAGTGATCAATTTTTATTACACGGTAATGTATGATTAAAATTTACTTTAAACATTTATTCATTTAAAGTTAATTTGAAGAATACAAATCTGAGGTACACATGATATATGTATTATTAGCAGTCAGTTGTTTTATAGTGTTGAACGTAAACACATATTTTAGTGTTATAATTAGGGTATTTAAAAAACACAATGATTTTCATGAAAAATAAATTATTATACCTTGAATCATACGCGACTTATGCTAAGTAGTATAAAAGTTCATTCGCATTCAAATAGTTCTAGGAAAACGTCATAGATAAAGCCATTTCCAAACATAATGTAGAGAATCATTTATAAGTTGTTTAATAAAAAGTGATGGCCTTCCGAGTATCTTTTTGTATCAACAGAAACACAACGTATTTTTCACAAGTGTTTAATACATTTTTATAAATGTATAGGACAAAAGAACATTGTAAAACAACTATTTGTTTACTATTTTACTTAATAATTAAATATAAAACGAAAATAACAAAAATAATTGACACAATATCAATAAGACTTAATAATTACTTCAATAATTATGGTCGACAGGATATGTACTTATGTATAACACGTTTTGAAAATGCTCCATATTTATTTTAATATTTTTTCCGTACAATAATATTGACTTTAAGCAATCATTTGAATTATTCGTTAAATCTTCTAAAACGCATCAATTATACTCGAAATAAGCTATTATTTAATTTTTATTATAAAACAATAAAATTCAATCAGAATTCCAAATATCTTCCGTTTAATCAATACATTCCATTTGTATTTGTACTACATGTTTTGCGCAACTATCAGTAATGCGATTTTCTACCCATTTGTAATTTCTCGATTTCCTAAGATAAATGGTATGGCTCGACAAAGAGTTCAAACCGAAGGAAATCCACGTTGTAAAAGCTCAGTCGATATACATTAAATATTAAAATAACCTTTTGAAGATAACTTAAATCTTTTGATCTCGTCAAGTCTTCCATTAAGCCCAGAAATAATTAAACATATGAATTTTATTTAATAGATAGATTTTTCCTCGTGACGTATTAACAATGAAAATATCACGATAAAAAAGTCTTATCATAATACACGATTTTTCAGAAAATTACCATGAAGACAAAACGATGGTTCTCGGCCATTGCGGCACCCAGTAAAACTCGTGAACTCTCAAGGCCGGCCACTTCAGCCATTGAGTTACTAGAATCGCCAGTGGAAGAGACGTCGGTATGGCCTAAACTTAAAATTTCAACTTATCTAATTTTAAATGGCCATTTAAATTTTTTATCGTGAATTGCAGATAGACCTTTGTGTTGACATATCGATCGACGGCAAGAGGATCAAAGGACTACAAAAAAAGTGCTACGATAAATATTACAACGCAAACAATAACAATAGCCATTACCGCCTGTCCACCACATGGCCACGTCGTCCGAAATAACGAAACAGGCAATAGGTCGCACTTAGAAAACTATAGGAACAAATTAATGCCGCGCCTAAGCCGTAATGAGCGGCAAGAGGCAGACAACAAGACGACTGTGTGTTAAAAACGGAAATGGTCTTCATTGGGTTTGAAAAAGTGTTGTTCTTCAAAGTGGACATGTTCGTGAAGGTACAGCAGCGGACAAACATTTCAAACTTACTTTCCGTCGCCCCACCATCGCACAGCAGGCCGCCGGCGAGTTTAAAATAATTGGTTTTTATTTATACTCGCACATGACGATGGCAGCCAGTAGTCGCAATAGCAGCCAATTTAAGGTCAGCGCGTCCGAAGGTGAGTCGGTTTGGCAGAACGGCAATTCTTGTATATTATTATTATTATTATTATTGTTCGTGTGTCCCATCGACGATAGCGTCACGAACCAAATTATCGCACACACTAGTAGACAGCAAACGTTGCGATCAAATGCTTTCGGGCTACAGTGGAAAACGCACATTCTCGGTCTTGGCCGGTCCATCGAGAGGAGATCGTCCGAAAACGAGTTATTAACTTCAGTGTCAACAGTATTTTCGTCCGTGAAATGCCTCTGAATGTGCGTTACCAGCGACAGTGAAAATTATAATGTGCATTTCGGGTCCTATGGATGATAAATCAATCTGACAGTGCTCGCTCGTCTCGGGGCAAAATAGTTAACATGTAACGTCAAATACATTTCATCGACGGTACGCTATTATTGTAATAAAAAAAAAAGTTAAATCGAAATCGCGTTCGTTCGACGCGTTTCTTTTCAATACCACCGCGAAAACACACACACACAAATGTACAACAATAACATTTACGGGAAGCTCGAGATGAACGAGTTCAAGTATTCAAAGACTGCTGCATTGTTCGATAAGCTCGTTCATGTGATCAGAATATTTGGAGTATTCACTGCAATAGGTGAGTTTAATCGAATAGTTTGCTTCTTGTTCGTGTCATGTACACGAAAATAAAATAAAATTCATAAACTCGCACTTAACATGTTTTTAATGATAAAACTATATATATATATATATATATGATAACTTAAACATTTGAGATACTGCGTTTACTATTTCTCGGTGTATAGAAATGATTTGTTATTTTCAAACACTCGCAAGCGGTAAAGTTGAAGATGTCTGCGATACAGTAAAAATTACTATTGCAACATTTAAAGCGACTTGGATCGAGAAAGTCCAATAGGCAGTGAATGACATTGCTCTAATTGACTTGTTGACTACTTTTTTTTTATAAATAACTCTTTTATCAGAACTGTTTTTTACATGCAACACTAAGTGTTATATAAAAGCATTAATGCAAATAAATATCGATATTTATTAGATTGTGTTTTATTTTAGTGATAAGTCATGCCAATAACTTAATTACACATCGTAAAATAAATGAACAATATAAAGTATGGAGCAACATTTTTTTATTTAATTTGCTATTTAAAAATAATTGCAAAAACAGTAAACTACAATAGTTACCGGTAACATTTAACGGTTTTCTATTATTTTTCAGTGTAAATTGTTATATTCTCTAAAAAATATTAATCCAAATTGGGCGATAGGTTCTATTTTTAAACATCATTCGTTGCGTGAAAAAAAAAATGTCATAGTTGTATTCTACACACGGCTAAAAGATAAAATTATTTCAAGATAATTTGGCAGAACAATTTTTACCGAAGTAGGAAGAACAAGAGTTCATATGCATATCCTTGGAATATCAAAGCTACAATTTACTGAATAAAATATTTATGTCCGCATTATTCCGGATGTAAATTTATCTATAAATATACACAAGCCAAAAGCTTACACAGATATAAATTCATAATTATGTAAGAAGCATATTATTCTCGCAACAAATCTAGTACACCCTGAAAATGTATTTAATTTTTTTCCCACTAATTGTCACTTGACTATGATGTAATCACTTTCACATTGAATTTTAAAATACCCTATACACTGATTAACTGTACAAAATATATTTTTGATAGTTGTAGCTTAAAAAATGATTTTAAAATGTACATTAATTTTAAAAGTTACTGTTGTGTAGCTATAAAACTTTGATGTTTGGGAAGGTATACGCCGAGACTCATTTATCATTTGATCCAAGAGCATATACCCTTAAAAAATTCGCTAGAATATCAGTAAAGTATAGTTATTTTACTAAAACACAACTACCTGTACGCAATTTAATATTTGTGCTAAATAACTCGAATAGTGTTTATAATTATTATTATCTGATCATTTACTTTTAATTTTCTGATTAGTTATGTTTGGCGTGGGCGTTGACATTGCAATTCATCAGTATGAGGCCGGATTCTATATTATGTAAGTATCAACCTGTATTAAATATAATTTATTATTTAATAAGTCATGCAAACACATAACGTTGTCTGTTGATAAAATTTCGACTCGGATTTGTTTTGCTTGGGTAGCATTTAGTTATATTTAAATTTAGTTGAGTGTTTGTGATGCGAAGGACACTTTTAACAAAAAAAAAAACTTGAAGGATTTTATTATTTTTTATGTAAACACTTTTTCAAGATATTTCATTTATGTTTGCTTATGGTTTACAAATAAATTTTGTTTTCAATTTAATTTGACAATAATATATTATTAAAAATGCATACTGATTGTGTGCTTTAAATGATATTCAATAGATTTTTAATTATAAAATATTTTTACTATTAATTTTTGGTTTGGAAAATATTTCATTTAAATTAAAAACCTATTTATTTAACATTTCACATAAATTCATTCTAAGATAGGACAATAATCAATCTAATTTAATAATTTAATTTAATTATTAGTTCTTAGAAATTTCAAATTATAAAGTATTTATTATTGTCGAATAAATTTAAATCTGTTAATTTAATTACTATGATAGTATCGATAATATTTCGATATATATAAAAATATATACATTAAATCTTGTACACTTCACTATGACTTCCCATTAAAAAATTCTGGATACGCCACTGCAAGACTATAAAAATATTTTGAAATTTTGCATTGAATACAACTAAGTAACGTATAAGAAAATCGATTTCATATTCTTTTAGTAGATTGATTAGTAACAGTTTACACGTATATGATAACAACTACACAATACTTTAATGGATCAATAGACCCAATAAAATAGAATTACTGTTTAAAAGTTTTACGCTTCGAAACACTTAAATTCAACTAGAAATCAACGGCAATAGTTTTTATACAGTTTATCCTCGTTCTTGATAAAAGTTCAACAGGGTTATTTTTAAAATCTTCATTTATAATCACTAAAGAGACCTAAAGTATATACGTCTAAGGAAGCGAGTAAAAAGCTCCATAAGTATTATCTTTTGAATACATCCTGGTTACATGTAATCTTTCCTAAACTGAATACGTATATTGATGTTAAGTCATTAATCCTACTTAACGACACAATTTACGGAATTTGCGCAGGTAAAAAAAATGGTCGACGTCAAAAGTTTTGAAACTACTAAAAAGTATGATTTTTATTTTGCAAAAAGTTACAATATTATTAAAATTGATGATTTTTTTTTCTTAAGGAAAATACTGTGATTAAGTCGTTTATTTCACTGACGTTGATTAATAATGAATGCAAATGTTTATTTATATTCGAACTTAACATATTATTAATTCTATAAACCGTAATTTATTTAAAGTTTTGTCAGTTTAACTTATACAATTTCTAGAAAGATATAATTTTATCATATAAAGTCTAAATAAAAATAACCAATACTTTTATTAAGACATCAAATAAACTCTACATTAACTTTTCAAATAATTTATTTTCAGGTTGCTATCAATGTTAGTATTTTTTTTAGAAATCACATGGGCCATCACTTTGTTTCTCAACGTTTGCCTTAAGTAAGTATTAAAAATAAAAATAAATTCTATTTTTCAAATCTATTACAACATCAGCAAAATTATCGAAGTTCAACAATTCAATAAAAAACTCAATAATCTATTAAAGGCGAATATTTACATTAACCATAATATATATTCTGTTATTGACACAATAAAATCTCATTAAATCGAAATCTCATGGGACATAAGACTATTTAGTTTTATAGATATATATTTTATATGATAAATCATACAAATACTTAAAAGAAAAAATTTACAAAATCCTTTTTATGAATAATGGAGAGGTTATAGAAAATATCTCGATTTTATACTAATGAATTTTTTATACTTAAATGCATGTTAGTAGTTGTAACCAAAAATTAAAGCCTACAGAAAATGATTAAATTATATGTACCTGTTTATCACTTGAGCTTCAATGATTTTATCGTTTGATAAAATGTTATCATTCAATTGCGTCTTTGAAATTTATATCTTATTACACTTAAATTCCTGAGCTCCTTTAATCTTTAAAACAAATTGTTTTTGACATTAAAAAGTTCTAAGCTAAAAGGTATCTCAAAAGTTTTTTCTCTGCTCAATTCAACATAATAGTTATCTACCATCTATCATCCCTTTTTCATTTGATCGTTTTATATCTATCTAACGAATAGACTAGACCAGAAGTAGTTTAACTGGTCGTATTTTTTTCTTAAGTACTTCAATTTTTATCTAACTATTTTTGCCTTCAAACCTTACATCTATTTTATCAGACTACGTGTTTCCAAGCGAATGATATAAAAGTAATAGAGAAGACAAATATTTATCATAAAACGATGAAATTGTCGCAGATTTAACATTAAATTAATTACCTTTACAACAGTAACTAAATCACAATGTTACACTGGTGACATTTTAATGGGAAAATTCCATCGTATTAAATTAATAAACAAATTATACAATTTTGTTGGAAATGTTTCTATTTCTGCCTTTAAATGTTAAAATGATGCTCAACGAATACACAAATAGCAACTACAATGTATAACATAATAACTTTTTACTCGCTACGTACCTAAAATTGCTAAAGTTCGTTTATATCTTATAACTATAAATATGTTTATAATGCCACTCAACTACTTGAGAAAAACTATTAAAAAATAGATAATGTCAGTGTAAAACTTTCTTTTTAAATTTCACTACATAAAATTTAAATGATTTATTTCTTAACATTTGATGTTTCTAAGTAATTTTATAAAATTAAAATTTTAGTTAACTTAAAAAATAAATAAAAAATTAGTAGTAATAACAAAAATTAATATTAATTACATTTCAAGTGATTATAAATCAGGAATGCAGACAATATTAAGGCTTTTATTTGATCAATACTGCAATACCATTAATAAGTATATGTATTGTAAAAAAAATAAACATAAACTAGAGTATCTCAATTTTAATGATCTAAAAAGGTTTTCGATATTCGTTTTATTTTTCATGAATACTATTTCATCAGCTTATAAATGGTCAAACGAATAATGATAGAATGACTTCACCAAATATTTTTGGTTTAATAAGTTGACATGCGCCTGGGCCTTTGCCAATAGCATATAGAAACTTACACTAGTTATGTAGGTTTTATATTTATGCGTACGTTTATATTTTATAACACATAATATTTTTTTATGTAGAGACGAATTTAATCCAATATTTGCACTGTGGGAAATAATTCTTTGGGTCCGATTATGGAAAAAAACGTTGCTGTACTCTCTATTCTCAGTTGTATTCTTTCTTTGGCCTTACGGACTATGGTTATCTTATGTGGCAGGTACTTATCACAAAATAATTTATTCGTAATGTTTTATCAAATTTAATAACGTTCAACTTGTATAGGAGCTCTACTAATATGTCTAGCAATGCTGTATTTGGTCATGACTTTTAAGGACAGCGCTCATAAACGATCTGACTTTATAATTCTATCAAGAGGCGAAGCGTCCACATCCTACGACCAGTAATACATACTACTTGTGTTTATTACTTTGTAATTTACGCATTTAAGCAATATAATCACACTTGTTTTTTGTTTAGATATGATGACATAACAGATTTGCTTGGTGATACAATTCATGTATCTCTATCGGCCGACAATTTATCGGAATTAGATCAAAATGAAATTTTAGAACTCTAAATTTTTTTATTGTTAGTGTATATATTTTATTTGAATAATTCTGTAAATACTTTCTATTTATAGTTAAAATATTTGTTTATTAATCATTGTTAAAACCAAAAATTATCTTGTTAAACATTGCTTATTTGTTTAAAATACAATACAATGTAAATGTGATATAATTAAAATAAATTGATTAATTCTTTTAATCTACAAATTTAATTGTTAGTAAAAAATATATATATATATATATTATCTGATAATTAATGATAAAACTGATTCGTAGTAACAAGTTTAACATCTATTTAAGGTATAAATATGTATTTATGATTTGGTGTTAATGAAAAATGTTGTAATAATTGATATTACTAAAAAACGTGCATCAACCTTTTTATACAAAAAAAAAAAAATTAAATAACAACTACTGATGTAGTATGTGGTACCTGTATATTTTTCCTTTTTTATCTCATCTTTAATTACATAATTCTACTCCACGTATAACAGCAGAAATTTACTCGTACCTGCTACCAACATTTTAATAAATAAAAAAAAATTTTGGTTTATAACTATCTAGCAAAAATTTTTTAATAAAATCAGCTACATTTTTTATATAATTACTCTAATCAAATATGATCTCTATTAAAATTTGAGGTACCAGACCCTTTTAATTAATAAACTATGTATACTTTCAATAGAACTTCGTTAAACATTCTATTTCTAGTAAAACCATAATGCATAAGTAATGCTTGAAAATCTGCTGTGCCTGGGGACACTACCTCTTGTATTTCCTAAGGTCCTTCTGATGAAATGTTTGCTTCATACCACCAAACATGAAATTTCAATTTAACGTTTTAAATTGTACATTGAAGTTAAATATTCACTATCACATTTTACCTTCAAATTGTTTTACATACCTTTTAATTAAACTTCAAGTTTTTATATGCAAATATTTTTTATACTCTTTGCTATTACGATTTCTAACAAATACAAACTTTTACAGTATGTGGTAGAAGTAATTGTTCATATAATTTTTAATAGTAGTATACTTTTAAGATAACATAAACTTGTTACAATATATTTTAATAAATTTTAAAACACAGAACATTGTTAACATTTTGAATTCATAATGTAATTTTAAGAGGGATTAATATTCTTCAATTGAAAGGCTCTGTACGGAAACAAGATAACTCCATTATTTTTTCAAGTATATTCAATGGTTCTAAATTATGAACCGTAAAATTAAAAAAAAAGTAGTTACAATGTATAATTAGAGAAACATAACGTTTTTTTAAATTTTATAATAGGTCACATGTTAAAAATGTTTTATTTTTTCAGCTCTCACAAAAAATTTAAAAAATGGAATTATTTTGTTTTATGCACAGAGATTTTCAATTCTTCAATTGAGTAGTATTCTCAATTACTTAATGTTTTTCATTTATTATCAAGTAATTTATACTTTTCTGGAAAAATATCTCATTAAAAATAAAAATTTTACAATCAAACAAAATACTTATTTGAATACAAATTGTTTTACTAGAAAAAAAAATTATGTAAAAATTACAAAATATGTTTTATTAACTATGCATCAAAATACACAAATCTTAATTTAGATAAATAAGTTAAAAAATAAAACAAAGTAATCAAAATAATATAATACTTTGATAATTATATTAAAACTAAATATAAAAAGTTTATCAAAATAAAACTTTTACCTGTATTTCGAAATTTGTTTGATTCATCTTATTGTGGTTTTCGAAAGTCTAAATCCATTGTTCCTAATTTGTTAGTTTACTACTTGTTAAATCTGGTGGTAGATCTATACTGATTTGAGTAAAACTTTTGATGCGGTATATTATTATATTCTTTTAGATAAGCTTAATGTTATGAATATTAGAGACCTAGTTTTGTCTTAGTTGAGTCTTCTTTGTTAAAGAGGAAGCAATATGTAAATTAGCAAGGATTAACTCAAATTGAATTGATGTGACTTCAAGTGTCCCCCAAAGGATCACTTGTTGCCGCTTTTGTTTAATTTTTTTTACTGATGTTAGTTCAATTTTTATGTTTTACAAATACTTATTATTTGTTGAAGATTAAAATTATTTTCTGAAATTAAAATTGATGATGTAATGATATAATTCAATCTGAATTCATTCGATAATTGATGTTTGAAAAACCAGCCTGAACTCAATATTGATAAATATGTACAAATTGCTTTTACTCGCTCTCGGTTAATAAATGATTTTAATTATTAGTTAGCAAACATGACTATTAATTAAACTTCACTATAATTAAAGCGTAATTATGCAATTTAATGATGATCGGATATGTGACTATAAAGTAATTTGTCATTTAATTATTATCTTGAAGTTATTTAAAATACAGCGTTAAGAAATTTAGATTTTGTCAAAAGAAATTGTAATAAAATTTTAGATCCATCATGTTAAAAAATGTTGTATATATCATTAATAGAATCAATTACTTTGTTCAATAGTTTGGATTTAAGTCAGAGTTTTTTAATCGAAAGCTTAAAAATTGTGAACAAAATTTATTAAAATATTTATTTAAAATGAGGTTCGAAAATTTAACAAATAATGAGATAATGAAATATTATAACATCAAATCGCTTGAGACTAGGAAGAAATAACTAGACACCATGTGGCTCTTTAATTTGTTAATTATTGATAATATGATAAATTGCTCAGTAATATTGAATATTATACCGTTTCATAATCTGAAACAAAATTAACGAAGCTCAAAGTTCCCTATTAGTTCGATCGCTTAGATACATTGTGACAGAGCTGTATTTAAAATTTTGGTGCCCACAAATTTTTTCAGACTCGCTCTTAAAATAATATGGATAAACAAAAATTCAAAATTTTTTTGCATCACAAGTCAAATTTTTTCCAAGTTATCATCGAACTGAATTGAAAAATATAATATATCATGTAAATCATAATTATTAATATTAGATTAAAAAAAATTTTTTTCGACCCAATATTGACAATTAGGTGGTTTGAATTTTAAATTTGCCCTTACGGATTTAAAAAGGCTATTGCCCTTCCAAATGACTCCCTAAATACGGCTTTGCATTATGACAAACCGAATATTTTGTCACTAAAATCTCAATATTTGAAAAAATTTAATTGCCTTGTTTTAATAGTGTACACTATTCATATAAAGTTTTTATTATTATTATTTTTTATAGAAACCTATTCTTTTAACACGGCTTAAAAGGTTAGTTTTTAGTGAATAAATTAGTCTCGTATACAAAGTAAATTGATAATTTATAAAAGCAAATTAGCAAACTCAGATCTTCCTACAGACAAAATAAACACTACTACTTTCGAGACACGAAAAAATTCAGCCTATTAAAATCTGGAATTAAAAAATATGTTTCTCAAAGTGACGTGGCAATGGATTTTTAATTGTTGAATTTTGCATAAACAAATTGATTACTACTTTTTTTTAAATGTATTTTACATGTAATTATTTTCATTATCTCGATTTTCTTCCCTAGAAATCGACAAATAGACAAACGCTTGACGCGTATTTTAATAAATTTTAAAATTTTATATCTCTTTATTAAACATTTGTAAGATTACATTTTCGTACCAGGGATTCATAAGGCATCCTACAACGAGTTTCCTATGATTATTTTACACCGGCATCGGTATTTTGCAATAAATATCAAATCTAGTACCAGGAATTTATGAGGATTAATGAAGAGGTGTCCCCGAGTGTCTCAAAAAGATGTCTAGCGTCTCGTTAGCGATTGTCAAGTGGCCATCATAATGTTCAATATGGTAATCCATATAATGCTGTTACTTATCGATAATTCTTATGAGTCCCTGGTACTACAATTTTTACTTTTACCCAAAACTGCATCTTAAAACATTACGCTTATGGCGTAATGCTCTGCTGCTGGTTAACGCCTGTTAGTATACCACCAGTTTGTATAATAACACTTACAAGTGGCTGGGTGCATAGTCACGTTATCATAATATAATAAAATATATCCAAAAGGCATATTATGCTGTTTTCCGGCTTCTATGTACCAATCATCATGTAATATGCTGCTTACTTAGTTGACAAATTCATAATTTAAATTTAAACTTATATTTAGGAAAACTTATATGTTTTCTATATACATGTGCACTTGCACATGAATATTCAAAAAAAAATAGTCTATATTAATACCGAAAGCGAGAGTTTAAACAACAATTTTCATATATGAACAATTTTTTATTTATTTTTTCTTGAAATTGATACAAATAGTAACCCATTAAGTATCAAAGCCTTATAGAAAGAAATAAGTAATCGAACATAAGTAAAGATTTTTGTTTTGGTGTTTGACGGATTTCTGAACTAACCGAATCATTTAAGTAGTGCGCAAGTTGTTAACCAAAACCATTTGAAAATATTCTGATAGAATGGTAGCAAATAACTAGATTTGAATAGTCAACAAAAATTTTTTAATTATTTAAATTCGTGAATGTGTCTAACAATATACGAAATTAACTACCTGACTATTTAGTTCGATTTAAATAAATCATTGGAGCATAGATTAATCAACGTAAATTCATATCAGGCGAATGCAAACGTTTTTAAAAACTATACCAGGAAATCGTAAGCTATTTTTTACAGTCAGCTTAGTTAATTTAAAATTAATTTTAAGCATATTATTGTAAGTGATTGCATAGTAATCACCAATTTCAATAGGTTTACTGCTCACATTTTGCAAAGTTTTTGTCACTATTATTTTATCGTGTACAAAATAAGCGCATAATACTTTTAGTCAGTCATTTTAGCCAGTTTTTGTAAAAATAAAAACGTTATATAATGAAAGATTTTATACAAATAGAAAACAAAACTTTGACAAATTCAAAATATAACTAGAATTAAATTATTGAATAATGTTATAATTACATATCTTCACTAAGAATACAAAAAATAGTTTTTCTCTAATATGAACATTTGAATTTTAAATGGAACATTTAGTTATAGTTTTGGGTATATTTAAATATATAAAATATAATGATAGTATAAAAGTATAAATACGTGTATGCCGAATTTATTTTTATTTTTAAACATTTTAAGACAAAAATTAATGTTTATGAAATACTCTTTTTAGAAACTTTTTAATGTATTACTTACATAATTACTCAATCTTGGTTATTATAAATCAAAACTAACTGTAAACATTTATTAT